TACTTCTCCTTCATCTCATGTCCTGAGGTCATAAATTGCTGGTATAATCCCCTCTCCAGGTACCAAGGCCCTCCCCCTAGCACCTGCCTCACCCTCAAATCAACCCAGTTCTCTGCTCTCAGTTGCCTTTTGTACTCTTGCATGGAAATCACCTTGCTTCTTACAAACTTGCCCAAAGGCCATGCAAACCTGCTCACATACTAACAGATATATCAAGAAAATCCGAGCCTAAGTATTTTCCCAAACTGTAAAACTTAACATACCAAATTTTCAATGCATCAGAAATTCCCTCACTGATCTCATGAGGAAGAGACTATACATGTGACTAGAAAAAGACATTTACTTTGCTTACCAAAGTTAGCCATCCTGATTATGCTTTTCCCCTAAAGGCTAAACAAGGGGGCATTTCCCCCATCACCATCTTAAAAGTAAAAATGATTGATTCATCATTATTCACAGTTACTGAAGTGCCCATTGGTTACTATTTCACATTTGGGCTCAGTGTTTGAAGGATGAAATTGGGCATCTCCGAAGGAACAAGAAGAATGGGGAACAGATGGGGAGCAAGGGCTTAGAGTAACGGGTAGCATTCCATCATCATCCAACCATCTATTCACTTAACAGATATCGGATGGATGTCTATCATGTGCAGACATGAAAATATTTTTGGTGAGCATCCCATCAAATAGGAAAGCAGAGAGTGTGTCTAAATGTAGCTGAAGGTGGGTTTTGTGGAGTTTTGAAGCACGAAGGGATGAATTGTCAACCACACTGAGCAGCATATGGAAGGTACAGGCCACATTCAGCCTGACCATGACAGCTGACCCTGTATCCAGAGGAAAGGGAAGCCATTGACAGATGAGCAATAAGGGAAGCTCACTTGTCTCAACAAAGGTCAGTTGCACAAGAGAAGAGGAAGGAGGAAGTTGTGGCAGAAGAAACAGTGTTGTCACTGTACGCAAAAGTCAGAACAAAGCCAAATATTGACTTTTTATCTTCAGAAAGACACTCTTTGAACTACACCCATCCTCCCTTCTGAGAAGAATGTGGCTTCCTTGTTTCCTTGCACCCACTTTTCACAATTCATTATCTGCAGCTTCCCCAGATCCCAGAGGCTTGTTGATATTATCAGGGCTTTGAATTTAAGAACAGGCTCAGGAACAGGCTCTCAAAGTGTATTTGTCACCTAAGCCTAATTAGTTTTTGACACACAGTTGGATTATTCCAGGTATTCAGTAATTCAGTAATCCAACTGGACATGCCTGAGACAGACCAGGACTTGCTTTGCATCCTAGATGTGGCCTCTATGTTTTCATTTTTAATGGCTAAATGTTTAGCATCCATCATATCAGCTCGCTCCTCTAAGCCCTTTACAAACCAAAGAAAATCACTTTATTGGGCCAGATGGTAGTGAATGATGTCTAAGGCATGGCTGATACCCAAATTTGTGGCAATTACAACTCCATAGCATGTCATTAGATTAGAAGGACATTATACCATAGTGCTGTGTATGTGCCCCTCGATAGCATCAAATTTATTCTTTTCTTTTAATTTATATACCTCAGAATTTTCTTTATAAACTGACAACAAACTGATTTATTTGGGTTAGGTTTTTGGTGGTTGTTAGTGTTATAAACCTAGTGTTCAGTTAAGCATCTGACTCTTAATTTCAGCTCAGGTCATAATCTCACAGTTTGTGAGTTCAAGCCCAATGTCAGGCTCTATGCTGACAGTCCAGAGCCTGCTTGGGATTCTCTCTCTCCCCCTCTCTCTGCCCCTCCCCTTCTCTCTCTCTCTCTCAAAATAAATAAATAAACTTTAAAAACGAAAGAAAGAGAAAAAAAAAACCACAAAAACCTAATCATTCTTTCCTACTTCTTAGAGGTGTCATGAGGATTAACATCCTGCAAATATAAGTGCTTTAATAAGCAACGTTATTTAAAAATCCCTTGTAGATGTTAGCATGTGGCTTGTAGAAACAGTAGACTCTCACAAGGCCTGCAGAACATAAACCACAAACCCCTGAATCCTATGGATCTGTAACCCACATGCTATAGCATTATACAGCCAGACCTAAGAACCAAAGGGAAGCTGCCAGACACTAATGTAAGTCCAGAATCTCACACTGAGTGAAGTCATCCCTTTCTCTGCCCAGCTTCTGTGATTCTAAGAGGTCAATGAGTTCCTGCTTCACAAAGGGGAATATGGCTGGCTGATTCCCCTCTGTTCAAGAATCCCAGTGTGTGGACACCACGGGGTTTCTAAAGCCTCACCAGAGACAATCCCTATGTAACTCTTTGCTCAAGTGGAACAGGACAAGTTCCCTGCCATGGAAAGGACTGGGATTCCTCTTGTTTCCACCTGCAAATTCATGAAACATATCATGGCCATTTAAGGCTTGTTCTCTATCCTGCTTGTTAATGAAAGAATGGAGAGAATCTTCTATTTTCTTTAGTGGGGTTCATTTTAAACCTAATCCCAGACTAAACCTATATTATTATGTGACCTATTTGATTGCGTAAGCAGTAGAATAATCTCTACATATACAGATTTTTCAAAATCTTAGAATATTCATTTTTTAAGTGACTGCTAATTTGGTTCACTTAGGTTTGCTTTTGTTACTATGGCATGGGGACCACGCTCATCATGTGTCATTTCTGTACCAAAAAAACTTACGAATTCCGGTTCCCAGAAGGAAAACACTCTTTACAAGAGTATTTACATTTGTCATCTTTTTATTCCATTCAGAGACTAACAGGCCTGCAGTAGATTATAGAAAAAAGGAGCTGTATCTCTTGATCACACAGTTCCTTCAACATCTTGGGAACCCAACCTAAAGCAAAATGTCCATACAGGTGAGGGTTCACTATCCCAGAAATTCTCAAAATAAGAACGCTGCTTTCTGTTTCCTTGGCTGCCATCTAGTGGGTAATGATGTAGTGTCAATAAAACACAACAATGTCTGTGAAGACGGAAGATGTCTGCCTGTCTTCAAAACAAAATAGAAAACACAGTCAATGCAAGAAATATTGCAGAAATGAGGCAATTATCCTTTATCATAATTTCTACTTAGATATTAAAGTGTTAGTCTCCTTCCATTCCTGGTCTAAATTCCTTTCCATGATCAAACACTGATTTTGCACTAATATTGTGTGCTGGGACTAGAGCTGTAAGGAAATCCTAAAACAGATCCAACCACAGACTGTGACTCAAAATAAAGCTTCAGGGATCCCCAGTGAAAGAAAGAACCTCAGCTAACTTGAGCCTAGACCCATGACAAATCCATGAATATTTGCATCTTTGGTATATTGTATCTTGTTGAAGTGGCCAAAACCAATATTGACATGCCATCTTAAATTTATCTCTGCTAGGTTTTTCCTGTGTGCAGTTTCAAAAAATATTTATGTTTACTACTTATTTTTTGGAAGAGAGACAGCAGAGAACAGGGGAGGGTCAGAGAAAGGGAGACACAGAATCCGAAGCAGGCTCCAGGCTCCAAGCTGTCAGCACAATGTGGGGCTTGAACTCATGAACCTTGAGATCATGACCTGAGCTGAAGTTGGACACTTAACTGACTGAGCCACCCCCCAGGCACCTCTCCTGTGGGCATTTTTTAATGGAATCTCTAGTGCCTGGTGACCATTACATAACAGTCAGGTCAGCTGTTTAGTAGCACCTACAACTTTTCAAACTGAAATCAGATTTTAGACCTAAAGTATTTTGGTTTCAAATTCTCATACAGGGATAGTCTGAAAGTACAAAGAAATGTGGTAGAAATGTAATGAATCTAAAAAACATGCACATAAGTTTCTGGCTTTTTTCTCTCACACACACACACACACACACACCCCTACAGCTGAATGCTAGTCCAGTCTTTCCCAAGGGTCACTCGCCTAAGCCCAGTCATCAACATCTGGTTGCAGATAAATGAAAAGTCACTGAATTATATTTGACATCACAAGTTAAGAAGAATTATCTACCAGACATCCCTCCTTCTTTGTTCTACATGACCATGGAGTAGTTTGAGAAGAAAGAACAAGAGCTCTCAACTACGGCATTCTAAGGTAGTGGTTCCAAATGTGGGTCATGGTACAGACTGCATAAAGTTCAGATCCTGGCTCTGCTGGTTGTGACCATAAACCTCAGGCAGTTTACCAGACCTATGTGTGCCCTGGTTTCCTAAAACACAAAATGAAGGTGCCTCCCCTTTTAAGGTCATGGTTAGGATTAGACAAGGAATACATTTAGAAGGATGGCTAGAATGCAGATAGGGCTTAATAATTGTGTGCACTTATTAATGTGTCCAGATGCTTCCAAATAATTTTCAAAGGAGTGCTAGTTGTTCCCATGCCTTAAAGTTTGGGGTGGGAGATTTTGAAATTAGGGGTCAAAATGTAGGAAGTGAGACACCTGCCAGCAATGCCACCACTCTGTACAAACTCAGCCAAACTCTGCTCATGGCTAAACAACTGGTGAATATTAGTCAATGATATTCCTCCGAGTTCATTTTAACCTGGTATCAAAGCTGAAGCCCAAGGGATGCATTTAACGGAGAATTTCCAATCTCTGCCAAAGCAGGAGAGGAGAGCCTTTTAAGAGCCTATGAAACAAGGGCAATCGGATGGCTTAGTCAGTCCAAAGCGTCTGGCTTTTGACTTTGGCTCATGTCATGATCTCACAGTTCGTGGGTTCAAGCCCCACATCGAACTCTATACCGGCAGTGCAGAGCTTGCTTGGGATTCTTTCTCTCTCCCTCTACCTCTGATTCTACGTACTATACAAACCTGACTAGTATCTTGTCAAAGTTAAATTGTACTAAAGTATAAACCTCGTTCTCCCCCGACCCCAGGTATTCTCTGATTCTGATCAGGCTCTTTGAAAAAGTTCAGGTCTTAGCCTGAGCCTAAGAAACCTGATGCCTTCTCAAAAATGAAAATGGAGAAGGAAAAAAAAAAAAAACAACATGCTGTGACTCATTTTCTTTTTTGGTATTTTTAAAGACATGCAAAGCCTAGAGAAGCTCCTGAGAGATGCTGTAGTCTACGGCCAGCCTCGAATCCGCAGAGCTTGGAAGAAGATTCTCATCCTGGTTGAAGGCATCTACAGGTATGTAAATCACTGGAGACGTTTTCACACAGTGGGGCCTGCAGCAAGCTAACAAATGAGGAAAGGCTGACCTCTCCTAGCTAGATGAAAAAGTGAGTCAGATATTAGGAATTAAGGCGGGACCTGAGCTAGAGCTACCAGTGTGAGCTGTCAGGCTTTAAGTCACCTATCTTTTCAATGTCTATACATGTGGCAGAATACCTGGAGTCTGGATGCTTATGAAGGTGTTCTCAGAAATGCCCTTACAGGGCATTTTTCACTTGCAGTAATTCTTTCCACTACCTTTGGCTGCCCCACAGCTTCAAAGGCCTTTGCTGGCTATGTTATTCAACATCAGAATGCTTCCTGCCTTCTATGGCTGTAGTAGACATTGCTGCTATGTACCCAGATGCTTGTAACTAGACAGTACACGCAAACTCCAGTGGCTTGCTGAACTCGGCCAGTTGTTGGCATTAGAATACAAAAAGCCTGTGCATTTTCCACGAGGTAAGACTCGCCTCAAGTGCAATTCCTGATCTAAAGCTGGGAGCAGCTGGACTCAGCATCTGAAGGTATGCTCCATTTCCCACCTCTTTGAAGCTGAGTGGACAAAACACCCACTAGGCCACTGAGAGCTGAACTTTTACAAGGCACGTTGCGAAGGGATTTGCTTCCTTCTCTGTCCGAACTGGTTATCGACGCTAAAATGGAAGGTGCGTCCCAACTGCTCTGTCGAATGCCCCAGTCCCTGAGTCAAGGAAACATGATCTCAGAGTGCTCACTCCTAAATCAGTTCTCAAATAATCGTAATGTTGAAAGAATCGAGGGAGACGTTTCTTATAATTATAGAAAAGTGAATATTAAACGGAAGGAAATGAGAGCTTAACTTCTGCAAGAAGTGTGCTTGCAAAGGAGACTTGAGATCTAATAGAGGCTTTCATTCAGCCAGAGTGCACATAGTTTCTGTTCATGAGTGGATAACCAGCAGCAGAAGAAACGTGTCTTCATCCCTTTTGGAAAAAAAGAAGTGTTTTCTCCTAAATGTAAAATAATAATAATAATAATAGGCCAGGTATCATTTTGTTTTTTGTCCAGTCCTTACCAGGGGTTGGTGTTCTGGTGTTCCCAGTGCTACTGTGAGGTTGGGAAGCTGACATTTCAAGTTTTTAGTAATGCAATGTATGCATCACCTATCAGGACCTCCTCAGGTCAGCCCCCAGACGGTGTCTTATTGATGAAGTCTTTGGGATGACCTTAGAGCAGTGTTCTCAACCGCAACCCACCCCCACTCTGGAAGCACTCGGCAGTTGGCAGTTGTCATCTCTTTAATACAATACGATGGGCATCTGGTGGGCAAAGGCCAGGGATGCTGCTAGACATTGGCCCCTACCACAGAGGATCACTATGCTCAAAATGTCAACAGTGCTGAGGCTGGGAAACCCTGCTGTGGGTTAATTCGATTAGTAATTCAATTTAATTAATAATTTATTCACTGGCCTTGAACTTGCTACTTTGGGGAAGGCATCTCCTATTGACCCTGGGCTGTCATAACCTCAAGCACAGGTCTTGCTTCCTTGTGTGATCTATGCCAGCTGCCAGCTTGGGAGGGGAGCCCTTAGCTAAACACCTGTCATTCAGGCCTGGGCTTGCAGGAGCACGGATCAGCTGAGGGGGAGCAGAAGGGGCATCTCCTTTAACCAGAGTTAACAGAATCCAACTGCAAATAAACAAAACTTAGCTACACTCAAGGAAAGTTGTATTTTAAGTACTTTGATCATGGCTGAAATTAAGTGGACCACCAGCATTTCACTGTCAATGATTCCCACCAGTTACAGAGAGAAACCACTCCAGCAGCAGGGCTTGTTAGTGACTGGGCCCCTGTCCTACCATGATCTCAGGAGGGCAGGAGGGCCAGGTGTGGACTTTTGGCTCCAAGCAGGCATGGCATCAAACCACAGCCTGGGCTCCGTTAGCAATGGTGCCTGCTATGTTATCTCATCCTGAGTAACAAGCAGTTCAAAGCATAATGGCTTACATAGCAATGAGTTATTATTTCCCACATCACTGTGGGTTATCTGGACCAACTGGGCAGTTCTGCTCCACATGGTGTTTGTTGGTTGGGGTCATTCATGGGGTTGCATTCAACTGGAATATAGAATGCCCAAAATTACCTCACTCGGCACTGGCTGTTGACTGAAGCACCTTGTTCGCTTCTCTTTTCTGGAGCGCCTCCTGTATATGTAGGCTCATCTCACTGAGCAATCAAGTCAGAGCTTCCTTACGACATGGAAGGAATATCTATCTTCCAAGAGAATGAGAGCAGAGGCTGTCAGCCTTTTAATGTCTAGGCCCAGAACCAATATAGCAAATCTTCTGCCATGTTCTATTGGTCAGAGTATGGCAAAAGGCCAGCTCAGATTCAAGAAGAAAGGAGATAGAGCCCACCTCTTTTAAAACAATTTTTTTTATTAATTTATTTTTTAGAGAAAGAGAGAGAGAGAGACAAAGTATGAGTAGGGGGGAGCAGAGAGAGGGGAAGACACAGAATCTGAAGCAGGCTCCAGGCTCTGAGCAGTAAGTACAGAGCCCAACTCAGGGCTCAGACTCACAGACTACAAGATCATGACCTGAGCTGAAGTTAGACAGTTAACCAACTGAGCCACCCAGGAGCCCCACAGCCCACCTCTTAATGGGAAGATTGGCTTATGTGTGGAGGGATGGGGAGACTTGCAGGCAGTTATTGGAGACAATATACCACAGTCATGGTGGCATTTATTTATACAATGAAACCTCTGCTTTCTATGAACTTCCCTTCACAGGAGCTTTCTTTTATCTCACCTACACAGAATCTTGTCTTTAAATGAAACTGTGAGAAACACTGGGGTGGCTCAGTCTGTTAAGTGTCTGACTCCGACTCAGGTTATGATATTGCAGTTTGTGAGTTCAAGCCCCGCGTCAGGCTCTGTGCTAACAGATCAGAGCCTGGGGCCTACTTCAGATTCTGTGTGTGTGTGTCTCTCTCTCTGCCCCTCCCTCATTGCACTCTCTCTCTCTCTCTCTCTCTCAAATAAATAAACATTAAAATTTAAAAAAATAAATAAATGAAACTGTGAGCTAAAAGGGCCCATTCATAGCTAGGAAGCAGGGCACCTCTTAGGCCTCAATATTTTCTGGGGCCTAGGTCTCCTCATTTATAAAACAAGGCTAGCCTAGACTGGAGTTCTGGCACATCAAGGATATTCTCATTTGCTTCTATCACCAAAAAATGAATACTTTTCCCACAAAATTTTCCAAAGGGCCAGGGTTAGGAATGTGAAATCAGCAGTTCACAAATACACTTCTACATTTTAGAGATGTGTTATGGACACATACCTTGTTGACATCAACACAGAGCTTTCTTTACATTTTTACTCCCAGATGTTTTTATTTATTGCTATTGTTTGCCACCATGGGCAAAGTTCTCCCACCACAAAAGCCTCCCATAAATCAATTTTTTTTCATAATTCCTAAAAAGAGGAATCAGCCAAATCAGACAGTTTCAGGCAGGTATCAAGGTAAGAAACACTAGATACCAAGTCTAAGAAGCTCATAAACTCCATAAAAACAGTTATGAGTAATTAATAGTTACTTAATTAATTACTATAAGAGTAATACAGTAATTAATAGTAATGGCAATAATGTCACCATCCATAAACCATCTGTGTCCCATTATCTATATAGAGAATATGGAGGAACCAGGATTTGGAGGGAGGTCCAGGCCCTGGGTTCAAATCCTATTGTTGTCATCAATAGTGCTGTGTGCTTCATAGGGTTCTTTGTAAATATTAAATAAGATCATAGGACCAGTTCTTGGCAGAAGCCCAGTCCACAGTAAGCCCACAGCAAGGGCAGCTGTCTCCATCATTAAATTTCTTTTTTTTTTTAAATTTATTTCTAGGAGAGAGAGAGAGAGAGAGAGACAGCGTGAGCAGGGGAGGGTCAGAAAGAGAGGGAGTCACAGACTGAAACAGGTTCCAGGCTCTGAGGGGGCAGTCAGCACAGAGCCCGATGCGGGGCTTGAACCCACGAACCACGAGATCATGACCTAAGCGAAAGTCGGATGCTTAACCGACTAAGCCACTCAGGCGCCCCTCCATCATTAAATTTCTTTTCAGTCTAGGAAGTTGCAACGTGGAAAGCAGTAAGCTGTATGCAGAGTGAAGCTGTTGGCTCCTCACCCAGCTGGAGAATGGATGTCAGGGCGAGAAGCTTACTTTATTATGTGTCTGCTATTTACTAAACACCTGGGCTTACTCCTTGCTCCCCATGTGTGATCTGGAGTAAGCCTCCCCTGTACCTTTTTTTTAAAGCATTGTATATATCTTTTAAAGGTTTATTTACATCTGAAAGAGTGCAAGTGGGGACAGGTCAAAGAGAGGGGGACAGACAATCTGTGCTGACAGCACAGAGCCCAAGGTGGAGCTTGAACTCATGAACCAAGCCAGAAGACTGTGACCTGAACCAAAGTCAAACGCTTAACTGACTGAACCGCCCAGGCATCCCCCCAGTGTCTTTGATGTTACTGTGAAGATGAAGACACTTGACTTAAGGCAGATGACTAAAATGAAATAGAGCCAGGGTTTAAACCGGGTAGCTCCTCTGGGACAGAGGCCCCATATCCACAAAAGAGTCTACCCCAGTGTCCCCATCCAATGAAGTAAACACAGAAAAAGTGAAGTCATCCATTTGGCCTTCACCATTTACCTACCTAGGGCTCAGTTTCTTCATCTGTAAAATAGGAAGATTGAAACTTGAAATCTAAAGTTCCATGAGTTCATGACTTGGGGCTTTAAACTACAATCATATTGTTTTAGTGTTCTCATCTGCTTTCTTTTAAGTATTGTTTTAAGACCAGACTCTTGTAGTTTTGTGTCTCTGAAAAGTCATTGTGGTTGAGAAATCTCAAAACTATTCAAAAATATACTAAAGGGGTACCTGAGTAGTTAAGTGTACGACTCTTGATGTCAGCTCAGGTCTTGATCTCAGGATTGTGAATTCAAGCCCCTCGTTGGGCTCCATGGTGGGCATGAGGCCTACTTTATTTAAAAAGGAGAAAATAAATTTAAGTATATATATATATAATATACATACATACACACACACTCACACACTCACATATACACACACATACACTAGAGAAGGGCAATGGGTCCCAAGTAACCTGGGATATAATGTAGTATAACTAGAGTCCAAACTTCCAAAATAAAAAGTATTAAAAAATAATAGCCAGCCCTTCCAGAAAATACATATGTAAACAAATGTTTAAGTCTCAGAACATCATTTCCTCTAAGGATGTAAGCCATTCTCCTCCCCAAAATAATGTAAGTTTAAGGATTGAGAACTTGAACCTATGGTTTAAACAAATAAAAAGAAAAAGAAAGTACTTTATTTTTAATTAGTCCTAGCTGCTCCTTTCTTTTTCTCTCTTCACCTTCTTTTCTTTGTTGGATTATACTTTGGGCCCACCAAGGAGGTTTTTCCACCATGTAAGTTGGCAGATCAGTGGCTTAATGCCCAGTCCTACCAATGGATAATATGCTTTATATGTGGAGGAGAAGGTGGTGAGAGGGAGATTTCAAAAAACAGTCTTGTCACTTAGCTAATACATTATGTAACAGAAAAGATATAAAGAAATTATTCACTGGCTTGCTGGTTTAAGAATAATTCAAGTCCTTTCACAGCTTCAAATGAACGGGTAGAATTATCTCTACCTACAGTTGTATTTTAGTTGTTTTTCTTTTTTTGAAGTCTCTGACACACAACCTTCCATTCAGGAAGAAAAAATAAAACACCATTCTTGTTTTACTTTTTCATTTTTGGCAGTGTTTTTTGACAGCAATTTACAGGAATCACCAGATAGCCTTTTTTATGCATGCACAATCTCAATATACCACTATCAGAAAGGGTTCAATTCCAATTTGGTCTCATTGAGAAAATGAAAACTTAGTGTGGGTGAATATAACTCTTTATAAAAGCTGAGTTCTCCCTAGGACCCACGTGTGCCCTGCATTAACTCCAGAAATCAGCAGTATTGTAGAGTCATTAATCTTAGAGGAAGAAATATAAACCAGGTGGGCAGACTCCTAACATCAGCTAGAGCAGCCCCAGCGAAGGATAGCTAATTAGCTGCCTTGAGTGTCTGCAAACTGTTCGGCATTAACTCTGGCTCCTGCCAAATTCAGTTCCAGAACAAAGAATGGCTCTTTGTGACATGTGAGGTTTTTAGCATAGTTGTGTTACCAACTTATTACATGTTAAAGATGAGAAGTAGATCCTAGAATTTTGAGGGCATATAGCCATTTATTATGTATGACACCCATGTGCCTCTTTCCTAGAAGATTCTACACAGAGCATTGTCAAAGGCTCCCAATTTCTCAAGTCGGGCCTCACTGCAACCATTTCCTTCCCTGAGCTCCTCCTACAAAAAAGAATGACTCAATGAGTGCTCATTATGTGTCAGACGCTTTACAAACATTATTTCTAGGCTTCCTTAGAAAGACCTTATGAGAAGGGTTCCACCATCATGCTTATTTTACATGAAGCAAAGAACATCATGTAAGTTGCCCAAGTCCTCAGCTGGTAAGTGGTGTGGCTACAATCTAAGCTTAGGCAGATGGCTGTACCTTCTACTCTCAATGCAAACCATGTTAACAAACAATTAACCTAAGAAAATACTGGAATTAACTCACAGACTTATATAAGAGAAGATGACTGTATTTGGTTTCCATTTCATTAAAATCTGAAAACAGCCATTCAGACTGGCCTTGTGAAAAACAAAAATGCAGTAAGCCAGCTTTATTAAAATTACCAACTTCTGCTCTGCAGAAGACCATGCCAATAGAATGAGAAGACAAGCCACAGATGAGGAGAAAATATTTGCAAAAGATGCATCTGATAAAGGATTGTTATCTAAAATACGCAAAGAACTCTTAACACTCACCAGTAAAAAGCAAACAACCTGATTAAAAAGACCTTGACTTACACCTCACCAAAGAAGATATATAAATGGAAATTCACATATGAAAAGATGCTTCACAACATATGTCATCGGGGAAATGTAAATTAAAGAAACAAGATACCACTACACATCTGGTAGAAGGCCAGAATCTGGAGGAATGACAACAGTAAATGCTGGTGAGGATGTTCAGCAACAGAAAGGCTTATACTCGTTCTGGGAATGCAATATGTACAGCCACTTTGGAGTGGCTTCTTGGCGGTTTCTTACAAAATGAAACATATTCTTACCATACAATCCAGCAATCATGCTCCTTGGAATTTACCCAAAGCATTTGAAAACTTGTCCACACAAAACCCTGCACGTGGATGTTTATAGCATCTTTATTCATAATTGCCAAAACTTGGAGGCAACCAAAACGTCCTTCAGTCAGGGAATGAATGAGTAAACTGTGCTACATCCAGACAATGGAATGCTATTCGGCACTAAAAAAGAAACAAGCTCTCAAGCCATAAAAAGATATGGAAGAAACCTAAATGCATATTAATAAGCGGAAGAAGCCAACCTAAAGCCTACCCAGTGCATGATTTCAACTATATGGCATTCTGGGTAAGGCAAACCTTTGGAGAGAGTGCAAAGATCAGTAGTTGCCAGGGATTGGGTGGGGAGAGGAATGGATAGGCAGAATACAGTGGATTTTAGGGTGGTGAAAATAGTCTGTAAGATAGCCTAAGGATGGGTAGATGTCCTCATACGTTTGTCCAAACTTCTAGAATGCACAACACCAAGAAGCAACCCTCGTATTAACTCTGGACTTTGGGTGACTAAGATATGGCAACATAGGTTCATTTGTAATAAAGGCATCGCTCTGGTTGGGGATGTTGATAATAGGGGAGGTTATGCAGATGTGAGGCAGGGAGTGCGTGGGAAATCTCTGTATCTTCTGCTTAACTTTGCTATGGCCTTAAAATGCTCTAAATAATAAAATCATTTAAAGAAACCAAAAGTACAAATGCTGCACTTGACCATCATCACTCCCTCCAGACCAACACCGCTTGGCCTGGGTCACTGCACAACCAGCTGGACTGTTTTGACTGAATCGATCTGACACTTAAGTTTATTTTTGTAATACATTAAATTTAATACATAAACTAATTAGGAAGAAGGGAGAAGTTCAACTTTCTGTTTGCATCAATCGATTAGTTCTTGAACTAAATTGAAGGGTTGCTTGAGTTGTTTGACAAGCTCCTTTGTGTGGTGAGGGTGAGAGTCTGTGTGTTTTCATAGAACTCGCCTGTCAGTGCAGTCAAAACTGTGTGGTTGTAGACACAGCTTCCCAAGTGTTCTGACAACTGATTAAAGCCAAAAGTTCTTTTCAATCCACTGAGTTCCAAAGGTGCCATGTAAATATGAATTTTACTTATATATTTACTTCATATTTTTCCCTTTGCTGGAGGACTTGAAGTGATTTTGCAATTTACAATACCATGAAAAATTAAGCACTTAGGACTAAAGCAAAAGGTTTCATATATGGCAGTGGTTCTCAAAGTGTTGTTCTCAACCAGTGGTAAGATTATCTCCTGGGAGCTTGGTAGAAATACAAATTTTCAGCCCACCCCAAACCTGCTAAATGAGGATCTCTGTGGGGAGTGGGAGGGAGGCAGTAATCTGTGTTTTAACAAGCCATTCATGGGATTTTGATGCTCACTCAAGAATGAGAACCATTGCCCTAAGGAATAAAAAGATGAGACACTACCAAATACCTCAAATAAGCCCTTGCTGCCAATAAGCACTGAAGAAGAGATCCTAAGATCTCTATTGTGCTTTCATTAATACTGTGTGTCTTAAGCAAAGTTCTTCTATGTGTTTTTAATTCTTTCCTTTAATCCCTGGCAACTCAAGCCCTGAGTTTAGGTCAGACAGAACTGGTCAAGCAGACAGTAGCAACCTGATAAAGATGGATTACCATTGAGCAATTTAATTAAAACTAGAAAAATACCTAGAATCTAAAATGGTCAGTCTAGTTACACTAGTTGACTTTACAAATAAATTGATCAACAATGCAGTGTTTACTTGGGAATTAGCTATAACAACTCAAAGCACTTAAATCTATTGAAAGTGAATTATTTTTTTCAAGTAAAATAATACCAGATTAGCTTTAAAAGATTAAGAGAATTGTCTTAGCAAAATGGAATATGCCTTAAGAATAAAGGAATTGTATATCCCTGTCATGGCTGACTGGTGTCAGGGCAGGCTGTCTGAGAAGTATTGGAAGGGAGACCATCACAGAGCTTCCCAGGAAAGTGTATACAAGTGACAAGCATTTCTCCTTATGCCCTAGCATGGAAGGTTCCATCGTGAATCTGCCCCAGATCGTGGCTCTAAAGAAGAAATACAAGGCTTACCTCTACATAGATGAAGCTCACAGTATTGGGTCCGTGGGCCCAACTGGCCGGGGTGTTGTAGAATTCTTTGGACTGGACCCTCAAGATGTTGATGTGTTTATGGGCACATTCACCAAAAGCTTTGGAGCCTCAGGAGGTTACATAGCTGGAAAGAAGGTAAGAGAGGAACTCCTTGTGTCTATTTTAAAACCTGAACACTCTGAGGACATAGTCTACAGGGCATCTCTGGATTCCGTGAGAACTTCTGTTCACTTCGCCACACCTCAATAGACTGTGGCTACCCAGATACAGTGGGTTCACAGCCAAGTAGGCCCAGAATGTCAAAGAATTCGCTCTCTAATAGTAAAGAGTAATCACATTGTAATAAAATGACCATACCAGCAGTGTACACAGACAGAGGCTTAGTACAAGGAGAGGGATGGTTAACTCTGCAGGGTAGTATCTAAGGAGTCTTAGAATAAATATCAGTCTTGTAGACAAAGAATGGGGAAGGGTATATTTCTAAAAAGAGGGAATAATGTATACTAAACCACAGAAATGATAAGGGGATGTTACAGAACTGGAAGTAGTTTGGTTTTTGTGCCATAAAAAACATAAAACACATAACAGCAACAGTGGGCAAAGGTCAGATATTAATGAGGTTGACCCTATGCAACAACTTCTGGGTTTTAAGAGTATTAATCAAAGCCATCATAAGATCAGAAATGCCTTTTCAAGACATTTTCTCTGCTAAATAATTCTTTCCCACATTTTGGATAAGCCATACATCACCCTCTAATATCTTCTTTTATAAGATTTTATTTATTCATTTATTTTAAGTGATTTCTACCCCCAATGTGGGGCTCAAACTCATGACCCCAAGATCAAGAATCACATGCTATGCCAACTGAGCCAGCCAGATGCTCCTCTAATATCATATCTATAAGATTTAAAATTCTGATCTGTTGGAATCAGACTATTGAGTGTGATCCCACAGTGTTCTTTCACAGAGTATATAACACTTGCCTTATGTCTCTCCCTCTCTCTCTCCCCCCACACTCCCACTATCTGTCCCTCTCCCACACTTGTGCTTGCTCTCTCTCTTTCTCTCAAATAAATAAATAAACTTTAAAAAAAATAATAAGAATAAAATAAATTAAAGAGAGGAGGGAAGGGAGGAAGAAAGATAAATGAAAAATTTAAACATGGATTTGAGGGATAAAGAAGCCAGTTGTCTGCCCTTTATCCAAGTCCTGTTAGGTATGTCATACAGCCTGTACACCTGTCCCAAAGCAACTTGTAACAGTGATGTTGACTTCCCCGAAGGGGCACACCAGGCCCAAAACCAGTACATGCAGGTGGCATCAACAGTTTCTCCAAAATTCCCAATTCCTTTCTCGTTATGACCAGAACAAACAAGAGTTCAGTCTCCTGGTAAACCAGTTAGACAAATTAGAAATTGCAGCAGAAAACAAGTCTGTTCACTAAAGCCCATGATTTAAAACAACAGATTTCATTGTGGCCCCTTACCTTGCCATGAGATGCACAAATGCCTCAAATGTTCAGAGTTTTCAGTGGTCTTGACCCTTCAATAAGCATTACTTTCTTCTGAGCTCAAAGCATTGTTTTCCGTCCTCCCTACACTGACCTTTGGGAATTAGCCGGGTAATGCTCAAAACATAGGAAATGCCTAGGATCCTACAAAATTTAGCTAAATCTGGTGAAAGGTTAAACATTCCCTTCTCAGTTGTTGAAGCAAGGGGATCAGAGGGTCTCTAATTTAGGAGGTCCCTTATTCGGGCTACATTGCTTTGTGAGCTTGTGGTTTTATGATTACTTTAGCAGCCGTTCTGAGCCACAAAATTTTTAACCAAGCATAACTATGTTTCCTAACCAAGGGCACCTGAACAAACTGAAGCAAGCATATCCTTGAAATGTTGTCAAATTTGGTAGATGTCACATTTTCCCCTTAGAGCTCCTTCATCTGATACCTGCTTTAAACAAAGACCCCTGATTGGCCTGCGGTCAGGTCCAGCTCACTCGGGTTCTTACTCTCCATTCTCAAGTCAGTAGGACTGTTGTAAAAGTGTATGTGTTCTTATCTATCTCACTTGTGTTCATTTGGGACAGACACTGGGTAATTGTGGAAAATTATTATTTATATTAATCGCAATGCAGAAAAATGTTCATTTCCTTGCTATTTAAAATACCCATTATGTGGAAACTTATTTGACAATAAACTGTTTGTAAAAAAAAGAAAAAAAAATACCCATTCTCTGCATGCTTGGATCCAGAGAACTGCATCGTCCCTCCCCCACCCACTTCCTTTCCAGAGCCTCGTCTTCTGCTCCATGCAGTGTATAGCAAATTGGTAAATTTGCTGCAGTCTCTGAATTTACCACTAGATGGCAGCGAGAATTAGAGAGTGTTTGGCAGAGGTCCATTATTCCATACAGAGGCTTACTGCACTAAAATAGCAAGATCCGAAACCTAGAAAACATAGGGCAGTTTCCAAGACCTAGAAGGCAAGCAAGAGACAGGAGGCCACTTGAGAAAGTGTTTATATGTGCCATTCCCTGATGAGTTCAAAATCAGTCAAATACACACCTGTCTGGAATGGTTTTGGTGAGTCTGATAAACCGAGATAAACTGGTTTCCTTCCAACCTAATGTGCCTAAGAGTTAATGGAATTTTTGTATCTGCTTGTCTGTGCCTTTCATTTTTTACATGTTTGTCTTATTTTTTAATGTTTATTTATTTATTTATTTTTGAGAAGGACCATACATGTGCAAGTAGGGGAGGGGCAGAGAGAGAGAATCCCAAGCAAGGAATTCAGGCAGGACGTGGGACTGGATCCTACCAATCTATCCCAAGGAGCCATGAGATCAAGACCTGAGCTGAAATCAATAATCCCATGCTTAACCAACTAAGCGACCCAGATGCCCCAAGTCATGTCAATTTTATTTTATTTTATTATTTTTTTTAAATATTTTTTTATTTATTTCTAGGAGAGAGAGAGAGAGAGACAGTGTGAGCAGGGGAGGGTCAGAGAGAGAGGGAGTCACAGACTGAAACAGGCTGCAGGCTCTGAGCTGGCAGTCAGCACAGAGCCTGACGCGGGGCTCGAACCCCCGAACGGCGAGATCATGACCTAAGCGAAAGTCGGACGCTTATCCGACTAAGCCACCCAGGCGCCCCAAGTCATGTCAATTTTAAATTATGTGTAGTTTCCATTTAAATCATAGTTTTCATTCATTCCCCTGGATTTTGGATTATGTTTTCAAAAAAAGTTTCACTTTGAGTTTGTTTTCAGCTATGATTTTTAACTGGTAGGTCATTGGATTGGACAAATGCTAACAGTTTTAATCTGAAAGAAATCTTTCCACTTACCTATTTAAGTAATTAGAGTACAGCTTTCAGAGTTTAATCATATTTTCTCCTGAATATTTTGCAGGGTATACTTCATTTTGGGGATATACTGCAAAATACCCAGGATTCTAACCTTTGAGTACAAAAGCAACAAAAGTAACCATAAAAATGTTAGAGTGTACACACTAGGACTTTACATTTTTCGGAAACCCTAATAATTTCAATTTTACTATGTTCGTGGAGTTCTTAGTAAATCTTGAGATTTGGAAATAATTACTTGGGTCAAAAAATCTAGAAAATAAACAACTATCTGCCTCTCTTTTTAAATGTCAATGTTAGGGTTAGAAGTAGAGGGACTATATTCCTTTTTTTTTTTTTTTAATTTTTTTTTTTTTTTATTTCTAGGAGAGAGAGAGAGAGACAGCATGAGCAGGGGAGGGTCAGAGAGAGAGGGAGTCACAGACTGAAACAGGCTCCAGGCTCTGAGCTGGCAGTCAGCACAGAGCCCGACGCGGGGCTCGAACCCACGAACCGCGAGATCATGACCTAAGCGAAAGTCGGACGCTTAACCGACTAAGCCACCCAGGCGCCCCAGAGGGACTATATTCCTAATAGCAGTTTCTAGGAGGCTCTAGAAGTCTTTGCAAGGTTGGCCAAATTCAGGACTACAGTCTACGCTAGCCACCAGATATGTCATGGAAAGAAAAGTGCTTGGAAACAAGCAAAGGGAGAAAAAAATGATTTGGTGCTAAGTTAGGACCACAGAGAGTAGAGATTCTGTCTTGGCCTCAGGCTTGCTGCCACAGAATGTCCAACAAATTCATCTCTGCTTGTTGCAACTTCCTGCCCTCGCCCCCACCTTCTCTCCCCACCTTAGGGAGACCGCCCAAACGGTCTCTCCAGAGCTGCTTTGTTCACTTTGAGTTTAGAGCTGCTGTAGATGATCTGTGAACAACCCAACTTGGAACATTCTGACCTTTCAAGACCTGTGAGGTGAAATGTCAGATAATGACTTCTCTCCACCTGTTAGAGCTCCATGCCATGAATGGCTTCTTTGAAGAATACTTAAGCTGATGGGGCTAGGTTTCTTACTTTATTTTTTAATGTGTGTGTTGATCCAGTTGCTGAGGAGGTGTGGTAAACACCAAAGACCCTGATTTGGGGAGTCCAAGTGTGTTTCAGGCATGGATCCTGAGTCCCCTTGAATGCCTGCTACTAACCACTGGCTTTCCATAGACTGAGCAGATTGCAAGCGAGGGAAGCAAAGGTAGTGTTCATGATTGATAGGTCGCAGGGCTAGAATTCTGGGGGAGGGAAGTCAGACAGGGCAGCCAAGTTTGGGGTGAGTGTTAGCCCCAGAAGCCTGTGTGCCAGACAAAGGCAGGCCTCTCGCAGAAGCCAGCTCAGTCCCAGCTGTATTTAACAACCCTTTGAAGTAAATGGGGGTCATGGTATGAACACCAAGATGTTTATTCTAAGAGCCTCCTGTCTGATTTCCTTAGCAAACCACCCTTGCCCTTGAACTCTAGGCCTATGGGTAGAAAAAATAATCAGGGTTTTGAACTTACAAAAGGACTTGGAAACCTCAGTAGGAGGAGACCTCTAACCCATCCTGAAGGAAGACATAACCCAGACTTTCCTTGAAAAGACCAAAGCCAACTCTTAATTCATGGCTCCTGGTGCCCGATAGGGAAACAAGAGGAGGGAATGAGAAATCAGGCATCAAGATCTTCCTTGATGCTCAGCAGAAGTTACTTAAAGAGCCCCACTTTCTGAACCCACAAGAAAACTAGCCCTATCCACAAACTCAGACCTTCAAAGGAAGGGGACCCAGTCTAAAAGAAATAAGATGGTGGGCAAGATAGTCTTAATGTTAAAAGAGAAAGATAACTGCATTGATGAGGCATTTGTTCAAACTAAATATGCATATGACCTTGGCTTTATGAAATTTCCCAATTTGGAAAGGAAAATTAGGGGTTAAGGATATAGAAAAGAACCCTTTAGGGACCCAAAGAAGCTTTGATTTGTTTCTTTGTCTGATCTTTTTCAGTGATGCCCCAAGACTAAGAGACTATTTCTATTCTTATTCCTGAGAATACAGCTTAGTAGCCACCTATATCCCCTATATACTTCAGGGACTTTCACCATCCTTCCTCAATCCCTAAAACCCCTCTACTTTTCATTTGATCATCAGCATTTACCAGGATCCTGATAGGTATCCACTATTCTGGATTTCAGATGACTGTGTAATCTATCTCTGCTCTCAAGGGGGTCTTACTCCCCTTGGAGAAATGAGAGAAATAGCCCCAAAGCATTTTGAGACTGATGTGATTCAGTCTGTAGTTTAGTGCTGTTAACATTTGAGTATATTAGGGATTCTCCCCCACCTCCCCCCAAAAAGGAGCAATCTGTGGATCAAAGAAAGCACCACAGTGAAGTACAAGTGCAGGTGGTAGTGCTCTCTGTGCTCCCCTGCCTGCCTCACCACATGCCAAGCTAGCTCTTCTGGTCTGGAGAAGTATTGTAGTGTGGTGCTAAGGGTGACGACTCCAGAATCAGGATCTTTGGGTCCGAATCCTTGTAATTCAACCATATTTTGGTTGGATAATGAGCCACCCAAGCACCCCTTTAAAGATTTTTTTGTTTTTTATTTACTGGGGCGTGGGGGGGAGGGACAGAAAGAGAGAGAGAAAGAGAGACAGAGAATCCCAAAAGGCTCCATGCTGTCAGCGCAGAGCCCTATGAGGGGCTCTATCTCACAGACCGTGAGATCATGACCTGAGCCTAAATCAAGAGTCGGACACTTAACCAACTGAGCCACCCAGGTGCCCCCTACGTACTACATATATATTAGCTCATTTAATTTTCATAGTGAGCCTGAAGTTAGTATTACTATTATCTCATTTTTCAGAGAAGAAAATTAGAGGAAGAGGCTTAGTAAGTTGCCGATGGTCACATATTAATAAGTGGCAGAACCAGGATTTGAACCCAAGCAGTCAGGTTCCAGAGCTTGTCCTGTAACTCCTTGGTCACGCTTCCCTTCAAGGGGGTAACTGTCATGGGAGCTCCTCCCTCTACTCCTGATTGACTCCTTATGCTTTGCTGATAAGATTCCATCTTCATTCCTAGAACATGCCCATGCCTTTCCCCTCCTCTGCCTCTGTCCAAATCCATCCATCCTTCAAGGCCAGATCACCTCCTAGAAACAGCCCTTTCCAGCCCTGGTCCACATGAGCCCCCATCATCCTGTCCCTTGTGCCCTACCCACTCTCTCCTACTTGGCTTCTCCAGCATTGGCCGGAGGCACCAACTCTCAACACAGAAAGAAAACCTTTGCTGCTGCTCATGGAGCAGCACTGAGCATAATGCTCTGAATAACAGCCTGGCTTCAGCTATGCTAGGAAATGGCCACTTCTCTCTCTCTCTCTGAGCTGCACACTTCCCCACCCCCAATCCTCCAGAGTGAATTTTCCAAATGCTATGTGGCCAATGCTTTAAGTCGGGCCATCATTATGCATAGTTTTCAACTATGGTGAAAACCCACCCAACTGCTTGTATTAGATTCACTATACAAAAGAATAAATAGAAACTTAATTTTAATTTTAATGTAAGTGGCCGCCAGGGAATAGCCTTTCTAGCCTCCTTCTCTTCTTAGACTCTCATATCTAGTACAGAGCCTGGAGCAATTTCTTGTGCAAATTTGCTGAAGGAAAAATGAAAGCAGGGAAGAAGTCCCGGGGGTAGGGAGAAAGAGAAAAAGGAAAGAAAAGGAGAAGAAAGGATAGGGAAGAGAAGGGAAGAAGGAAATACTTAGAAATGGAGAGGAGAAAAAGATTTACATGGAGAATTTGAAACAAAAGAAAGAAAGAGGGAATCAGAGTAAAAGAAAATGAAGAAATGAAGAGTGAAATGAAGGACAATTGAGAAAAGTTGGGGAAGAAGGATGATGGAAGAGAGAATTTAGAATGAAGGACACATTGAAGGAGGCAGGAAGGGACAGAATGGAGCTTCCAGTTCCCCATGGGCTAGGTAGATGCGTCACATCACCAACCACCTTTGGTGAGATAGGCCATTCACTTTCTGAAGAAGATGAGTCAAGAATGTTTAAAATGCTGGGGTACCTAGGTGGCTCAGTTGGTTGGGCATCTGACATCAGGTCAGCTCATGATCTCACACTTCATGGGTTCGAACCCTGCATTAGGCTTGTTGCTGTCAACATGGAGTCCACTTCTGATGTGTTTCCCTTCTCTCTCTGTCCCTTCCCAACTCGCATGCTCAACTCTCAAAAATAAAATATTAAAAATTTTCAGAAAAAAAGAATGTTTAAAATGCTTGTGAGCAACCATACCACCCATTCTCCAAACAAGATGGAAAAGCGAAGGGTGGGCACAGTGAAGGGTGGGCTTAGGGGTGGAAATGGGTGTAGCTGATGCAGGGAGTTGAGAAGATGGACCTGCCCAAAGCACCTTCATGAAGGAATAGATCGGAGAAGACACCTCAATAAGATTCTAAAGTATCTCCTCATCTTTGAAGAGAAGGTGGCTGATCCTTTACAGACTCACTGCTAATGCAGAGAGCTAGCATCAGGCCATTAGCTTTTCTGCAGAACATCCTGAGCCAGCACAGGTGGACCAGTGGATGATCCAATCAGCTGACAGATGCTTGAGCACCTCCAGATGCGGGCTTACGACCCTCCCCACTGTAGCGTTGCAATATTGGAGCTTCTTAAGACTTTCAGCAAGCTTACCCGGGACCTTATATTTGGCCTCAGAAGTCAGGCATGCAAGTGAAGAATCATTCCTACTTCTAAAGACTAGCAGTCTGCAGTGGGTCAGCACTCCAAATAGTGTTGCACAAAAATTGCAATAGCTCTCTTCTGACCAAGGCATAACCAGAGTTTATCTGGTCCTAATCTATACTCTAGTTTAGTTTCCCACCTCTCCCTTCTGCCACTCCCTACCCCTGAGTTTTCTTTTCTTCTTTATCTGTCTTCATTCTTTAAGACCATTCCACCTCTTCACTGAAGCCCTCCTTCCCACTCTGCTCCTGCTAGCAATACCCATCTCTGTTCTCTGCAATCTTATCGCCCTGTTGCCTATACTGGTTTGCATGTCTTGTTACTCTTCCTCCCATTACTTTTCCATAGGCACATCTAATGTATGCTCAAGGGCAAGAACCACATCGTGTATTCTTTGAAGACTCCTAAATACCAAGCCAATGCTCATACATGCTAGCTATTCAACAAATGTTTGGGAAATAATTTTTCCTTTACACATGTGGTTTTGCCTTACAGATCTCAACTCCAGATTCTCAACATCCCACTTTTGTATGCCATGTAGGTTTTGAGGGAGAGACTAAGAAAATGAGATAGCAAAAAATAGTTTGGTGATGCCCCCTTGAAAATCAGACCACATTCAAGAATCAAATCTCTTGTGCTATGGTGGGTGGGGAGGGAACTAGATATAATTCTCACCACAAACTGAGACTTATTTGCCTTCTTTTGGGGATTCCTCTTATATTAAAGGACCTTGTGGATTATTTACGAGTTCACTCACATAGTGCTGCTTATGCTACATCCATGAGCCCACCGATAGCAGAGCAAATCATCAGATCAATGAAATTTATCATGGGACTGGATGGGACCACACAAGGTAAGAGGGTCTGCAGGGAGCACGACTCCCATAAATCCTTCGTTAGACTTCTCCCTGTCCCCCTTCAACCTTATCAATCTGCCCCCATCTCAAATATGTAACTTTGTCTTCACCCAATTTGTAAATCAATGTGTACAACCCCAATTTGTACATGATATATAATAGCCCATAGTACAAAAATATACTAAAACAGCTGCCACTACACACAAAAAAAGAAATAAATGATTTTTTTAAGCAAAGAAAACTTTCTAATTCACCTCTTAATGTGATCAGCAAAGTTGTATAATTTTGTGTGATCAGTTGCATTAAAATGAAGCAAGCAGTGGTACGTGTTTGCCTGTGCCTGCTTGGGGCCATCACTTGTGTTTTCCCGGGAACAAACCAGGGCTTTGGCAGGGGTTGGTTACCATTACCCACTTGAGGATATGTGGACAAAACACACACAATAACCTCCCAGCCACTTTTTGGACATTGGGTCACCAGAGCCAAAGTGTGCTTCTTTGCTCATCCCAAATGAGCTTAATTGTCTTTTTGAAAAATTGTTTCATCAAAGCCTTTTGGAACTTTCCTTCTGTCTCGTAGATGTAGTTTACAGAGCTTCTACCACATATCACAGTGGGTGGGGTTACAATGATGAATAAGGCAGTTCTTGCTGCCAGGCAATCAAGTGAGTGCATTTATGGAAGTAGCAAATTATCTTGGCCCCGGGGTGGTCACTGAGCCATAAAATCCACCTCCCAGTTGGTAGGAAGCCCTCCATTATTGAGTGCAACCTTCCAAGCCTACTGTTTCAGTAGAAGCATGGGAAGATCCATTTCCCAATTTTGTTAAAACAGCAGAGTACTTAATTCACATACACATTTTACCCCGAAGTCTCCCATATACAACAGATCGGAACAGGACTGAGCTGTTTGAAGTAATGTCTCTACCTACCTCCATGCTGGCAGTCCCTGAGGCCCTAGGCTCCCCAGGACACTGGTTTGAAAACCCCTGAGATAGACCTTTCCTGTTCATTACAGCAGGAGATTGGCTTGCAGAGGGATTTCCTCCTTCCATGTAAAATGCAGTGCTTGATTGTTCTCCGAAGTCTCTTCCAACCTTGTCTTTGGGGTTTTACGCTTCTGTCTCTTGTTGAATCATCTGTGTGAAGAGGAAATAAAAATCCAATCTAGGGAGTCTACGTGGTACAGTGGTTAAGGGCACACACTGAAAGCTGCTGCCTGGCTTTGACTCCTGGGGTGCTATTTACTCGCTCCTTGGCCATAGGCAAGGGATTTAACTTAGCTGCTCACCTCCGAGCAAGTTACTTCCCAGTGTTTCAGTTCCTCCCACTGTAAAATGAGGTAAATAATATTGATTTAGCTCATGTTTCTGTGAGAACTAGGTAAATTAAGATATATAAAATATTTAAAATTAGGTCTGAAAACAATTATATTTGTTATTATAATATATAATATATAGTATATTTTCAATTGTTATTGAAAACAATCTTATAATTGCTCACTACTGTTATATGCTATTATTATTGAGGTGTTCAATTCTCAGGTGAGAAGTATTTGGACCACATTCAAGGATTCTGTAGGAAAGAGTCTTATGGTGGCAGTGAAGTAACACAAGATGTCTCCAAGGCCCTGGATAAGTCAGGATAAGCAAAGTTATGCCACCTTAACAAATAAACCCTGAGAATCTCTATGGCTTACTGGAACCAAAGTTTAGCTCTTGCTTATGCCAAGTCTCATACAAATAGATAACTCTCTGCACAGCTGTCTTCCATGGGGACAGTGACTCAGGCTACTTCTAGCCTAAGGCTTGGCAGTCTTGTGGCAGAGAACAGAGGGGTATGTGCCTGGAAGAGACACACAGCACCTTGCTTACAATCCTTTGCCCAAAACTAGGCATATGACCATGTCCAAATGTGTGGGAGAGGAAGTTAGTAAATAAAAGGATATGGTATAGATAAGCAGATATATTTCAACCTTTTAAAACCAAAACTAGAAATAGAATTGCTCCCACATGAGCTGTCTGGTTGCATGAAAAACTGATCTGGAACCACTGGCTTCTCAGGAGGCTGTATTGATCTTCCTGAACTTCACGCATTTCTCAATGGAAAACAATTGTTTGAAATTTAAGCTAAAATGTGAGTTAAATGAATTGTCCTACAATGACCACAATTATCCTTTGGTCTTATTTTAAAGGTGAATTACAAGGAGGGGTGCCTGGGGATACCTCAGTTAAGTGTCTGACTGTTGGTTTCAGCTCAGGTCATGATCTGGTGGTTCATGAGTTCAAGCTCGATGTCAGGCTCCACACTGACAGTGCAGGGCTTGCTTGGGATTCTCTCTCTCTCTCTCTCTCTCCTTCTTTCTCTGCCCTTCCCCTCCTTATGTTCTGTCTCTCACGCAATAAATAGATAAACTTTTAAATAAATAAATAAATGTGAATAACTAGGAAAGTTATCTGAAGATTAGAGCACTAATTTCTTAAACCCTTTAGTGTGTATGCTATCAGAGTCAGTTAATTTACTGACATGCACCCAACCTGACAATCATTTCCTTCCCTCTTCTGGATTGGTTTACCTCTTCATCACAGACAGAACTCACTCAGTTTGTCTGATCACAGTTGAAGATCGCAGGAAAACCACATTGAAAGATTTGATCATTTGTTCTTTGATAGTCAACTAGCATCAATTGTTCTTCCTCCGAGGTGGGAGGTATTTCCCTTGATTCTCCCTCTTTGCCTTCTAGCTAGTTAATTAGTTGGTTATTTTTTTCTTTACTTCCCAGTTGAACTTTCTCACTTTACTCCTTCTGCCATCTTATGGAGAAAAGAAAGAAAAAGAACAGAGAAGCCAATGTGTAGTGTCTGTTTTCTAAGAGGCAAGATGGGAGAACCCAAGGGAAAGACAGGACAATTTCTTTTCAAAAGGATGAACAAAGGGAAGTAGTAGAAAAGAAAATTGACAGAATCATCAGCCAAGTTTCAGATGGTTCTGCCTGACACATCTTTTGAAGAATTCAAAGGCAGCAGTGAATGTTCATGCTGGCCTCATTTACAACAATGCCTGCTTTAAATAAAATGAATGGGACAGGTTGGGAATATTGCATTAACTCACCCCTTTCTGCTGAGATATACGGACACTCAGGGTAAAGTTGCCCGGAGCTCAAAGGGATGCACTATGTCATGCCAGAGCTGCCTTACAAGATCTGAGAAAGAGAGCCCGGCTCCAAGCCTTCATCTTTGGCCCACTCCACTGCAACTGTGATTGGAGCCTTTCAAGGCTTTGTTTCGGGTTGAGTTTGGGGAGCAGTTGGCCAGATCTGTCCCTTGATGAATATCTTCACTTTAATCTGCAATGCAAAGCCATAGGCTTCAAAGAGAAGCAAGCTACAGGAATAAGGTCAGCGTTCCTTTGAAGCCAAAGTTCAAAGATGAAATAGCAGTCTCAGTGAAATGACAATGTTTATGCACAAACAGCCACCTTCACTCTGCAGCCAGGCTACTCCTGGAGTTAATGCACACAGGCTGAGGGGCTGCAGGCCGTGCATGCATTCCACATGCACCAAGGCCCTTTTAATCTCCTGGCCTGTCACATCGTGCTGCACAATGAGCCCAAAGTGCAGATTTGGTTTCTCCATCCAAATGGTGGTTGGGTGGTCCATAAGCCAAGTCGATTCTATAAGCCCCTGAAGGGCAAGAAATGTGTCTTGAATTAATCTGGTGTTCCTGTGAGTGTCAGACCCAGTGCTCAGCTTAATAAATACGTCATGATTCAACTTCCATCTCACTGGCCTCCACGATTTCAGGTCAGTGTTTATGCTAAATGAGATCGAAGGGATGTTTATCTCACAGGACTGGAAGCCAGGAATCCATTCCACACCCATGCAGCAGCTGGCGGTATCACTCAGTATTTGGGACCTTCTGTAGCTGACACCACTTTTGAAGAGGTCCAGAAAGATTGCAGCTTGGTCATTCTCTTCACCTAGCCATGACACAAGCCACTACAGGAGACTGAGCCCCAAACCATAACAACCCCCCTAAAGAAAGCACTGGCAACAGTTATCTTATTATTATTTATTTAAATCTTTGATGCATATTTTTCAATTAATCAGTAAATATTGTTTTGCACTTCCAATCTTGGCCTTCTTCCGCATTCTCCCTTTCCCCACTCTGGGTAATCCTTGACTTCTCAGAGAACGTAGAGGGTGTATCTCATGGAGGCTTAAGGGTGTATGCTATGGGGTGCCTGGGTGGCTTAGTTGGTTAAGTGTCTGACTTCAGCTCGGGTCATGATTTCATGGTTCACAAGTTCGAGCCCCATGTCAGGCTCTCTGCTGACCACTCAGAGCCTGGAGCCTGCTTAGGATTCTGTGTCTCCCTCTCTCTGTGGCCCTCCCCTGCCTGGATTCTCTCTCTCTCTCTCTCTCTCTCAAAAATTAAAAAAAAAATTTTTTTAAAGGTGGTGCGCGCTCTGCAGCCAGACTGCATGCATTCATGCAGCCCAGTCTCCCTGCCACCTTCATTCTGTGACCGGCAAGCTGCTTAGCCTCCTTAGCCTTGGTCCCTTAACTTTAATTGGGGTTGTACATAGGAGTAAATAATATGAGGGACTTAGCACCATGCTTGACACATAGTAAGTATTCAATTAAGGCTAACAGTTACTATTATTTTCACTCATCTGCTTTCTGTCTGTCTCCAATTTTTCAATAGTTTTTACTCATCCTAGAATTCTGCCTTTCTCTCAGACCTCCACCTACTCCATCAGCAAATCCCACAGCACATCCTTTGACGTATGTCCAGAATCTGGCCCCTTCTCACCGGCCCCAAATCTATCTGTCAGCTCCACCCGGATCACTGGAGTAACCACCTGAATCTTCTTTCCATTCTGTTCTTGCCATTTGATGGCTTGTTTTCCATACAGAAACCAAAGTAATCTTTAAAGAAATATAACTCAGAATACCCCTCATGTAGAACTTTTCATTGCTTCCCATCTCACTGAGTGT